GAAATGTTTCCTATGTCTGTAGTCACAGCTACTCAGGAGGCTGAGGCAGCAGGATCTTTGAGCCCAGGAGTGCAAGATCAGCCTGGGCAACATAGGGAGACTCATCTCAAAAATCAGGAATGAGTATTGAATTTTATTAAATGTTCTCCCAACATCTATTGAGGGACATTTAGTTTGTTGTCATGTAATGGACTTTAATTATATATATTTTTATCTATTTTCTGATCCAATTAGATAATTATTAATGGGGCACAAATTTATATATTGGCTTGATTTAATTTGTTGAGGTAGTTCAGATTTTCTCACTTAATCAGTGAAATTCGCGTAAGAGTGAAAGAAGAGTTTGTGTGTGTGTATGTATGTGCGTGTGCAGGTGCTTGCACGCACATATACGCATACTATCCTTAGCGGAGTATAAGTTTAAAGTTTTATCATTGCCTGACTCTGACATTCCTTACTTCAGAAATATTTTAAAGCAAAAAACCATAAGATATTGATTATAAATCTTACTTTTTTCTCTAGTCTTTATCTCTATTCCTTATTCTGTTTACTGAAAGATAACCTGACATTTTTAAATGATGCTACTCAATGACAGCATTTAGAACCCTTTCTAACAACTAGTGCTACTGAAACTGGAAACAAAAAAAAAAAAAAAAAAGAAAGCCAAACCTTCCCACATAGAAACTCATTTGCTTATCGTTCTCTGCCTTCTAGAGAATATCTAATAAAAATTCTCAATGCCAAAGGTTTTGCAAATATTTTTAATGCAGTCATAGCTCTCTTAGGTCAAGTCAAACGTCATTTGATGCTTATGATACTAATTTTCACGTGTTAACCTTAAAATCTTACATACGGGGTTGGAGTAGTAGCTCAGCAGTAGAGCATTTGCCTAGCACATTCAAGGCCCTGGGTTCGATCCTCAGCACCACATAAAACAATAAATAAATAAAATAGAGATATTGTATCCAATACAACTGAAAAATAAATATAAAAGTCTTACATATGAAAAAATGGCCTTTCAAAATTAAAAAAATAATAATACTGTGGGTAATAGTTTACAATGAAATCTATTCAGTATGTACCCAGATTGAGAAATAGCATTTCAGTCCCCATTTCATTCCATGCCCCTTTCCAAAGATAACCACTATTCTGATTTCTAACTATATAGATTTATTTTTCATTAAAGAGAATTATCCTTTATGTACTCTTCTGAAACAGGTTTCTTTTTGCTTAACTTTATGTTTGCAAAATTTATCTATTGCACTATTGATAAGCAGCATTTTCATTTGGAGTTATGTGTAATACTAAAGTGAAGATCTTTTAGTAATGTGTGAATTCCTGATATGCTGATTAGCCCCTAAAACAGTTAATAATCTCAAAAATTTGTAGAGAAGAATCAATAATCTATTAATTCTCTGATTCCTTATTTTTCTTGAGTTAATGATAGCAGCTATGTGATGCGTTTTGTTCTAGCAGAAAAATAACTGGTAGAGCACACCTTGAACTTGGAGAGGATTGATTTTTATGCTTTGTTAGAGTGCATCTGTTTCAGTTTTATGGCTTACAACTAGAACATAGTGTTTAAAATTTTTAATATGCACGATCTCTCTGAGGTTGGTTTACCAATTTCTTACTCCAGACTCATTTTGTCCTGTAGTAGGCAGCTGCTGAAATCTCTGCTCAGTTCTTTCAGCCTTACCCATTCATGTACACTTCAGAATCTCCCTTTTATACAACCATCCCTGACCAACAAAATTTCAAACTGCTCTAGCTGTCCTAAACTCCATTTCCTAAACTCCATCTCCATATTCCTTGTGCTGATAAGACTAGACTTTTCCTTGAGTTCCTTATGTTCCTAACTATCTGGACAGGAGGGAGAAAGAATATAAACTTGAATCTAATTCAGTATGGGTCTGTCCCCCCCGCCATTCCTTTGAAAGGTTGAATTCTCTCCAGAGTTCCTTGGTCATTCTCAGGTCCCTTCAAACACAGGTTTTTCTGATTTGTTCAGAGTAGTTATTTGGCACAAATACTGAGTTGTGATCTGTTCTGTCATTGCCTCAATTGGAACCTTAGTAATTGAGAATTAAGTACATTGAATATAAAAATAAAAGCAAACTTATATTTAATGAAGATTGAAAGAGAAATTATATATAGCTGGAGGAAGGTGGGGTATGAAATACTTAATAGAAAAGGTTGGTATTTATGGTGAACCTGAGGGATGGTTGGGATGGACTTCCATTAGTGAAGATGGCAGAGTATTCTAAATTGAAGGAACAAATTGAACTGCTGGGAAAGTACAGACTGTGTTTATAAGAAAAATTAAGAGTCTGATTTGACTGGTGGGTTACTTTTAAGGGGAGTAATTAAAAAAACAGCCAGGTGCCCAGCTATATCCCAGCTACTTAAGAAACGAAGGTAGGAGAATTGCCAAGTTTGAACCTAGCTAGCCTCCACAGCTAGTAAAACCCTGTGTCAAAAAAGGGGCAGGGGGAGAGATAGGAATGCAGCTCAGTGGTAAAGACCCCAGAGTTCCTGATACAAAAAAAAAAAGACTGGAAAGTAGGAACTATTTGAAGTTTTTGAGCTTAATCTGGTAACGTAGCAAGGAGTAAATGGGAGTTAAGAAAAGAGACAAAAAGATCAATTAGGGAGATATTGGTGGCAACATATCCATCAAGAATTTCAAAACATAGGAGATGAAGGAGATTAATAAAGGTAGAAACCAAATAGCTGAAAGATGGAGACTTACTGGTACAAATGTTTATTATTAACATATATTTTTTCATAAATAAAGTTAGGATAATTTAAATAAAGGCTATACTGCCTTTGTAGAAAATAGAGCTCTGTTCTCGATTTTTTCTACAATTTTTTTGCTATTGTTTCATATTTTCAACTAAGACATTGTGCCTGTCAACACTTATCAAAGTATTGGACCATATTTATGTTGGCACTTCTGTTCTCAGTATAACTAATTTAATTAGAACTGAGAAAACTTATCCGCTTTCAAAAAGAATATCAATATAAAACCATCAGTTATTGATACTAATATAGCCAGCCATTTGAAATTCTTTTGCATACAAGAGGGGTTTATGATAGGAATGTATATGATTATAGGGAGATCATAGGAGTCCCAGAATAGCAACTGTAGTATATGACCAGAATTTCAGCAACAATTTGTGGGACTTTGACTCAAGGAGACCTACTTTCCATGTTCTCTTTTGTTTATATATCATTGCTCTCCATTATCCAAATTACTTCTGAAGTCCTTTCTAAATTTTCTTCCATATTTCTAAATGAAGTTCCTCAGAATGCTATGTTTACTTCTGAGAGTTTACTTGTAGCAAACACTGTCCCACCTTTTCATATATAAAAAGTAGCATCTTTGAAATAACATTGCACTTTTTAAAAAATATATATGGAATTGTAAATATTAACACTATTCTAAACTGAAGAACTCAACTGGATGTCATATCTTGTAGCATTTTTTTTAAAACTAGGCCTGTGCCCTAAAATAATACTATTAATGGTAAAAAGTTGTTAAGAGTGGGTAGTATTGTCTATTTTTTGTGGTAAGCATTGCAAGATTGTCATACCACATTTTGTTAGCCCAAGTAAAGATCAAAATTTAGAATTTAAAGTACAATGCCTACTGAATTTGTATTGCTTTGGCACCACTGTAAAATCAAAATTCCTAAGTCACACCGTTATAAACTGGGGGCCAGTTGTACTGGCAATTGTACTCTTTGGTAATGTTGATATTAAATTTATAAGATCAGTTTGAGAATTTTCCTGGACTTTTTAATTCACCCCTAATTACACACACAAACACACACACACACTGCACTGAGGGTTGAAATCAGGAATTTTACCACTGGCCCTTTTGCAGGGACACCAACACCCTACCACACTCCCAGCTGCCTTTTTAAAAATTTTATTTTGAGAAAGGTCTCACCAAATTGCCAAGTTTATACTTGAATTTGGAATCTTCCTGTCTTAGCCTCACAAGTAGTGTTAGCCACCATGTCCAGCTCTTTGCTTTTTTTAAAGAGTTGAATAAAATGGGGGCTGGTGTTGCAGCTCAGTGGGAGAGTGCTTGCCTAGCACATGTGAGGCACTGGGTTCGATGATCCTCAGCCCCACTTAAAAATAAATAAATTAATTAAATAAAGGCATTGTGTCTATACAACTAAAAAATATATTTTAAAATGTTGAATAAAATTATTTTATTAAAGACTAGCTGGATATCTTTGCAATTATAAATTGTATTATTTGACAATACATGTTATAAAATATCTCCCAATAGTTAACACAGAAAAAGGTAAATTACTAAAAAAAAATTGGGGGCGGGTGGTGGCAAGAGGAATATACTGGAGATAGAATCCAGGGACATTTAAAAACTGAGCAATATCCTCAACCTTTCCTCGCTTCCTTCCTCCCTTGGTTCGTTCGTTCCTTCCTTCCTTCCTCTCTCCCTTCCTCCCTTGCCTCCCTCTATCCCTTCCTCCCTTGTCTCCTTCTTTCCCTTCCTCCCTTGCCTCCTTCCCTCCCTCTTTCCTTTCTACTCTCTTTCCCTTCTTCCCTCCCTCCCTCTTTTCCTTCCTTCCTCCTTCCCTCTCTCCCTCCTTTTCTCCCTCTTTCCCTTCCTCCCTCTCTCCCTCTCTCCCTTGCTTGCTTCCTTCCTTCCTTCCTATTCATTCATTCATTCATTCAAGGTAGGGTCCCGCTAAATTGCCTACGGCCTCACAAATTGCTGAGGGTGGCTTTGAACTTGTGATTCCCCTGCCTCATCCTTCAGAGTCACTGAGATTACAGGCATGGGCCACAGCACCCAGCCCACAAACAGTTTTAGATTGTTACAAATAGACTGTTACATCAAGAATGTATGTATTCAACGTTATAGCAACTGTGTATTTTCCAGATATTTATTTTAAATATTGATATATTTTTGTAGCCAAAGCTTAATATTAAATCCTGTTAAAAAATTTTTTTTCTTACAGGGCTGATCCTTTGTCCAATATGGTTCTAACCTTCAGTACTAAAGAAGATGCAGCTGCCTTTGCAGAAAAAAATGGTATGATTGGTCTATTTTTGTTTTTTTCTTTTCACAAATAAAGTTAAGATATGATTTTATGTTCTTAACTAAAATCATTCAGGAATATAAATTTTGAGTTGAAAGAAATCTTTCAGTAAATATCTGGTTCAGTGGTGCTTAGCTTTTTTGCTGCAACAGGATGAACAACCCCCTTCCAAAAGAAAAGAAAGTCAAAGAAAAATTTAAAATGGAATGTCCAGTGTTACATGTAAAAGCCAAAATGCTCTAATCTGAAGTCAGATCAGGGCAGGGAATAAGACTACTTGTCTAACACACCTACCTTGTTTCTGAATTCCTCTACAAAATTACTAACATTTGGTTATTTAAACTCTTATGTCATAAGGTTAGCATAGTGCAGTTTTGACACTTTATTATTAAGTTCTCTTTTACTTTGATCCAGAATCTAATGCATATTATTCTATATAGCAGCTCTTTTATTGAAAATAGTTATCATATTCACTAAATTTTCATTAAGCCTAAATATCTGCCTTTGCTACTTTTCTAGATATGAAATGAATGTAGTCTAAAAGTATATTAGTTTGGGGGGACAACTATGTTATACCATTGGATTATGTTGATCTTACTATCAACAATAGTGCAAAATATTTTTCTTATTTTCTGCTGTTAAGTCAATAGTACAATGAAAGGAAATGTGCAGCTAGACCACTCTGGGTTCTAATCCTTATCATTCCACCTTGAACCAGTATGATTTTGGATTAATTTTATAGTGGACTTAATGCTTCTTCATATTTGAAATAGAGAAGCTGGTATATAATAGATACTTGGTAAAGATTAGTTCTGACCCTCATCTCCCTCCATCTGGCATTTCTTTTGTTTATGTCCTGCAGATTTAAATATGCTGATATACATTTGTACCTAATGTATTTTGTTTGGCAATACATAAAATACATTGTTACTATAAGCCGTTATATAAATGTAAAAAAATAGCATTTTCTAATCATTTTTTTCTTTAAATATTTCTTTAAGATGTTGATGGACCTGTATTTCATTCATTTATTTATATGCAGTGCTGAGAATTGAAACCAGTGATTCACAAATGTTAGGCAGGCATTCTACCACTGAGCTACAACCCCAGCCCTTTCTAATCTATTTGACATATAAATATGAAAGCACTGTGAAAGCCTTATGAAGATCATTATTATCTAAAATGTTTTTCTTCCCCACTTAATACTGCAGATTGTAATTAAAAGTCTAAAGCCACAGACCAAGATGTGTAGCATAGTGGTAGAGTATGCTCAAGAGCCTGGGGGGTTTCCAGTCCTGTATACAAAAAAATAGTATAAAACCAAACTACTTTGTGTTTGAATCCATGTTGAGTCATTATGATATACTGTATTTTTATTTCCTCATCTGTAAAATGGGAATTGCTGTGAGGATTAAATGAGTTAAAAAAACAAAATACTTAAAATTGGTTTTGACACATACTAAGTATATAATAGTATATAAGTATATCTCATTATGGTTGTTTTTAAAATAGACTTCTGAAACTTACAAAGGACTTAAGTGCATTTCCATATTAATATTTGTTTGACAAGTTCTAAATTTCTTAATTACATAATTGTTCTCAAAGTGGTCAGTCTTTATTATTTTGACTTAATATTATCAAGATATTATTTGATTTAGACTAATATTTTAATTAAACTACCAGTTATCAAAAACATTTTGTTAATGTTTTCTATCCTTTCAACCTACTATATTTCATGACTGCCACCTTGAAAATTATTCATTTGAGGTCCGTAACATGAGTTTAATAACAGGAAATCTAATTAAACTGTTAAATCCCTGATTAGTCTCTAAGTGATCACAAGGACTGTATGACAGCAGTTGCCATGTGAATTGTAGGTGTGAATTAGCCACTACTGCTATTGAAATCAGGTGCCTTTTCAATTAATTCTACCTCCCAGGAAAGAAAACTGAAGAATATTGTCCAAATCAGTAGGAAATATAACTTGAAAAAACATAGAGGATAGTGAGTAGAAAAACTGAAGGCTAACAGTGGATTAGGATTTCTAACCTGCTTCACAGCAGGAACTATCTGTCTTGGTCACTATTTTGTCCCAAGCACCTGGCACAAAAGCTGACATATGATGTTAGTAGCAAGTGAAATTATAGACATTCTAAAATATACTGGTCTACTCAATAACTTGAAGCTACTCTGATCAACTGGGGAACTCCTCAGTTATTATATACACCCTAAAATTCATTTGTAATCAGCCTTTTTTGGTACCAAGGATTGAACTCAGGGGCACTTAACCACTGAGCCACATCCCCAGCTCTTTCCAGCTCTTTTTGTGTATTTTTATTTAGAGACAGGGTCTCCCTCAGTTGCTTAGGCCTTGCTAAGTTGCTGAACCTGGGATCCTCCTGCTTCAGTGCCTCAGCCTCCCGAGCTGCTGGGATTACAGGCATGTGCCACCACACATTATGTATTTTTTAATAAATAAGTCTTGCTTTTTCAGCTATACTGGAAGCTAGATCTAAATAAACAGTACTGGAATGCTACAGAATCAAGTGTTAGAGGAATTTTTCCAGATTCCTCAGCAATGCCCTCTATTCTGATTTACCTCTTTTGGATAGGTGATAAGGTGAAAAAGAATCCTTCCCCTCAGACCAATCATCATTTTATTTTGAACCAGTGCTGTTGAAGATTAGGTGAACTAATGTTTTGGTAATTTAAGGACTTTTTTTTAAAAATTAGTTGAGCAGTACTATTATGTAAGGTTTATAGGATTAAGAGGCTGGTAACCTAGATTCTAATTCCACAATTATCCCCTTCACAGGAAAGCTTTAACAGTTCTTGCTTCACTGCACTTAATGTTTGATAAACATATTTATCTCATCTTTGAAATGAGTAGTTTGATTGGGCGATGCTCAAAACTATATTCTTTCAGGATTTTAAGTCCTTGAACCAGCTCATATGCCTTTATTTCTTACCGTCTGGCCCAATGACTTTCTTCTTCTTATTATTTTGGTACTGGGATTTAACCCAGGGGCACTCTACCCCTGAGCTACATCTCCAGCCCTTTCTATTTTTTTATTTTGTAACAGGGTGTTACTAAGTTGCCCATGCCTCAGCCTCTCTAGTTGCTGGGATTATAGGCATGTGCCATTGGACCCATCTTTTGAATTATATACTTAATAGAGTTCTATTATGAATCAAGGATAAGTGGAAATTTATACTGCATATAATAGTGAAATAAAATATTTAAGACCAGTATTACATTATAAAATCCCCTGTTAACACCTGTTTTAATTTTCTTAAATAAAAAGACCTGTAGAAAAATGGTTAAGAGTACACTCATCTCTGAAACTGTAGTTTCCTACCTGCTGTTGATCATTTCTGTAATTATCTGCTTTTGCTGTTTTTGAAAGCTTGGTTTTCTGAAATTTCATAGTAGGAAGGAAAGAAGAAAAGACTGAGTGCCTCTTACAATTTCTTTCCTTCCCCATTTCCCATCCTTCACTTTCCCACCCTCAACATACTAATACACAAAGCAAGAAAATATAAGTACCCCTGTGTCTGTGGCTTTCATTGCAAGGTCTCATCCTAAACATCTCTCTTTAAGCTCACCATCTATTCCAAAGGGAACTCTTCAAAGATAACCTTTCTTTATTAGAAGAGAATATCTGGGGCTTCCTCTGAAATGTAGATGAACCTTACTTCAACTCTTTGTGTACTGAAAAGACCCACCTTTCTCACCCTTGTGGCTTTTGTCTGTCCTTGTGTTATGTGAAGGATGGGGAGGAGAAGGAAGCTGCATCATGGAGAGAAGTGGCAGAAAACAGCTGTGGAAAATGTGGGTAGTAGAGGACTAAGATCTACTACTATTTACATGCTAATGAAAACCAGAAATGCCTCTCCACCCCCCCATCCCACCCCTGTTTGATCTAATTTGAAACTTTGTGACTTTTCTTTGGTATGTCATTTTGCCCCCTGTGTTTTTCTCATTGCTGTTAGCTATAAAAACTCTTTGAAATTCTCAAAATAAGGGAGGGCAGAGGACAAGCTGTGAAATTGCATTGTGTTCACAGTGGGTCTGTTGGGGAGGAAAACCAACCTCTGAAGTAACAGAAGGTAGAAGCAGGAAAGGAAGCCCACAGGTCCAGCCCTGGATCCTGAAAAAGACAGAACTTTCCTGAAGTGTATCTCCAGCAATTTTTTTTTTCTATCAGTTAGGTCTGGACTTCCCACCTACTTTAACCTCTTATGAGCTCAACCTCATATCCAGGTAACTTTTAAAAGATAACTTTCAAACTCTTCATAATGGGTACAAAATTCAAGTAAAATAATTTATTTTTCATGATATAAGTGAACAGTTTATTTTCATAATATTAGTGAACAAGGCAGATGTTCTAACAAGTACAAATTTATGTAGAATAAAGAATTTGAGGTCAATTGCAAATGGGGACAAAAGTTATTTTCCTTGGGGAAGAAGGGTGTCTGTAAGAACCAGTGGGACACAGGATAGAATCTGTGTGTGTGTGTGTGTGTGTGTGTGTGTGTGTGTGTGTGTTTGTGTATAATTGTATACAACTTAAAAAGAGTTACTAAATAGATAAAGACAAGAAAATGAGCTGAAAGCCTTATAATGTTGAAGGAGAAGGATATGCTAGAGTCTGTATTTTTCTATTGAAATTATGTCAGGCTCTTCCCCTAACCCCATCTCCCAACCCCACATTTTTGGTTTTTGAGGCTGGGTCTCCCTGTGTTACTCAAGATGGTCTGAAACTCCTGTGTTCAAGGTATCCTCCCATCTTTACCTCCCAAGTATCTGGGACTACAGGCATGCAACATTGTACCTGGCTTCTCCCTATTTGATAGGAAATAATCTCAAATAGGGATTATTTATGATCACAAAATAAAATTGATGTACTTTTTTTGCCCTGATTATTTACATAGGTGTAGCAAGAATTAATTTTTAAGAATATTAATTTATCATATGTTTTCTTAAGTTTGC